ATGGCATCTTGTTAGTGATAAGCTGCTATATCGGATTCTTAGTTCCTTTCTGGTGGCAGTATGAGAGATTGAGTTACAGGTGATTGCCCTGCTGGATGGTTTCAAATTGGTGTTGACGAATTCCAGTCCTGTTTTTTATACGTCGGTGGTGTAACAACGTTTGCTGATGCTGTTAAATTCTGCCAGGTTTGCCTTCCTGCAATATTTGTTTACAGTGATGGTGAAACAAAATATTTAGATGAAGCTGAGAATGCCTGCGGTGCAGTCGGGTCGTTCTCAGTTGTAATGCATTCACAGTCTCAACCATGCTTTGAAGCACTGTGTACTTCTTATGACTGTTTCGTTAAAACTTAATTCAGCATCGGTGATTATCTTTCAAAAATTCTTGTCATGGTGGAAGTGTCGGTAGAAGGCTGCTTCGAACCTGGAGTAGGCCGAGCAGATGTGCCTATTTCATGACAGTTTCAGAAAAGACAATGTGACAAGTTTTATTTGTCTAAGCTTAGATACCTGTGATTCTTGTCAGCTTGATGAGCAAGTGAAAATCAGAAGCCTTGTACCTAGGGGGATGTTATCCTGTTCACAACTGGATGTGTTATGTAGTTCGCTTTACTTCCAGTCGGTGGACATGTTAGTGAGTGGTACGTTCAACATATAGAGGACGACCACTCGGATGAGTTCTGGCGCGCACTCTGTGATGATGACCGGTGCCAAATGAAGATGGTTAGTCAGGAGTGCGAGAGTTTGGCGTAGCTATTTGAGTAATGCCAGGAGCCATGTGTTATTAATCCATGCTGTGATTTGACATCTGATACTTTATACGTGATGAAGCTTGCCATCATCTAAAGCTCGCTGCCAGCGATTCGTGAGTTCTTTTCGACTTTACATTGCCTGATACTACAAAGTCGATTCAGAGTCGAAATCCTCTCCATATTCGCTTTGGTCAAGAACAGCTGAAGTTGTAGCATGCTCTAGTAGCAACTACTCGGTGCTAGAAGTTTTTGATTTAATGGGTAAGCGGCACTTAAGTTATTTTTTTGAACAGTGCTAAAAAGTGAAATCGCCTATAGTATTGCCTTAGTGCTTCTAAAATGTCATCGTTCGTAAGTAGGATTGAGTGTAATCGTTATTCTTTAAGAATGGGTTGTGGGGCGGTTTTAGGGTTTCCAACATAATGAAAGCACGCATAATTGTACATTGGTCTTATACTTGATAGGATTAGCATCTTAAGTGAATGTGTTATGACTGTTTTTAGAATTTGGGGGCATTTGTTCCATACTTACGAGTGGACGATGACCGCCAGAAACAACTTGCAAAGCGGCTTGATGATCTGATGCACATGCAGTCTGGAGAGAGCACAGAACGTCACAAAAACTTTGCGGTTAGTTTCAGTTTTATACATTATTATGCATTTCTCGCCGTGTAACAGCAGCTCGAAATGTATACTGTTATGCCTCTGTGTGTGTATGTGTGGTTGTTTGTTCGTGTGCATTTTGTCCCGCGCTTTCAGCTCAAGAATCACGAAAGCGCGGGAGCTAGAGAAAGCACAGAACGTCAAAAAAACTTTGCGGTTCCCTGCGCAAGTGCGACCTGGTGGGCTTGAATTCAGTGTTCACGTACACCCGAGTACCGTATGCGATCCACGAAAGTTTTGGAGGGGAAAGTTGTTATCTCGAGAACCACGAAAGCTGCGAGATTGAAATTTTAAGGTGATCTTCCCTGCCCCCTGCAACCGAGAAAATTTAAAATCAGCCTTCCCACGCACCCGGGTATCACGTACGGCCTCGTGGAAGTTTTGGAGGGAAGAACTACTATTTCGGGAACCACGGAAGCTAGGGGGGCTCAGATTTTAGGATAATGCCCCCTACCCACGCACGACAGCGCAAATTTAAATTCAGCCATCCGATTCGCCTGGATACCACGTATGACCCTAGAAAATTTTGGTGGGGAAAGTTAACACCTCGGGATTTGCGAAAGCTGGAGAGCTGAAATTCTGGAGTAATGTCTCATGCTTACGCATGACGACGCGAATTCGAATTTAGCTTTCAGTAAGTTTGGGTCTCGCGTATAATCACATGAAAGTTTCGGTGGAAAAAATTATTATCTCGGGAGCGAAAAGAGCTATGGGAGTGAAAACTTCAAGGTGATGTTTTCTGCCTATGCAGAGATTCAACAAACTGAAATTTAGCTCTCAATTATGAAAAGGTCTCACGCATGACCACGTGAAAGTTTTGATGCGAAAGTTACTTGAAATTCAGAGAACTAGGGCGTCGAATTTTTGGGGCGATATTCCTCGTCCAAGATTTTAGATTCAGCTTTCACATACACTTGCGTTTCACGTATTGACACGTGAAATTTTTAATGGGAAATTTCGCAGCATAGGAACCAAATAGCATGTCGGCTATTTTTGCACAGACCAAACTGTAAAATATTGAAAAATCCTTAGCAGGCAAATGTCCGCTGGGTGGAATTGCACAAAACGAATGATCGCACTGACTACCCTGGTGCGCACCGCTATTTATTTTTAACGAGTTACTTTGTTTTTTATGGGATTTCATAGGAGATTTCGTGATAGCATCGTATACTAAAGTGGAGCAGTGCTTTGGCTCCACTTAGGTCACGGAAACAGACTTTTTTTGGGTAGCCATGAGCTTGATGTTTTTTAGACTTATTGACAATACACTTCAGTTAGTGGTTCTGAATTTCCATATGATAAATGGTAAATGAAGCAGATAACTAGTACCAGTATACATTTTCTGCTGTGGCCGGTAGATAATTTGCGCACTTTGATTCGAAAACGATTCAAAACTGGTTCTATTTCTTGTTCGTTGTTTGGAGTTAAAAGCATTAGGCTGAATTAGGTCATATGGTTGTAGTTCAGGATGGATGAAATATGTAGGCGGATTTAAGATTTATAATTTCACTTTATTCGAGAACTAAAGGTTACATTTTTAGTTTCCAGCTGTAACGTTAGAAGAAATCTTGACGGGGTTTCAAAAGTCTGTATGTGATGCATGCATATTCGTGGATATGCCCCCGATTTTGTCTTCAATTTTTGTAGTTTATTGACTTCACTTTCCAACTTTCCCGACAACTCAACTAAGAATAAAAAAACTTAAAAGCCTCCTTCGTGTGTTAGAAAATCTGTTATTCTGCTACGGTACGTTTTTATTGTAATTCAAAATGCATAAGAATTTAAAAGTGTTCTTGCTGAGCTTCCTTAGGCTAATTTTGATAATTTCCATAAGCAGGATGCGTATGACAAAAAGATCTGGGTAGCAGGTGTATCAATTCCACTGACACATTGCGGATGGTTGAGTACTCGGTCTGGTTCTGTTGGTATCCAAAACTGCAACGATTTGCTTCCATTTCTATGCGAGAAAGGTTTGATATTCTTTTTCTTTAGTAGTTGTAGTTAAAAAGCCGTATTTGTTCCTTTGTCGCAAAAAAAAAAAAAAAAAGTGATCAGTTCTGCGCAATGCTTTACGGATGTTGCTGAGGATTTAATAAACTTCAGAATTTCTTAATGATTTTGGATTTTTATTGTTTTGTTAGCTATAAGGGATAATCAGTAGTGATTATAAATTTTGTAGGAGTGATGCCATACGAGGAGCCAGCATTATGGAGAGGCGGTGTTGTGATTGCTGTGATTGCGCTCTGTATTCTTTTCTCATTCGTGCTAGTACTTGCGATGTGCTGGTTCAGGAAGTCGAAGAAACGGAAGGAAGAGGAAACGAATCGGAAGGATTTTATTCGTGCTTCAGTGAGGCTTAGTAAGATCGACAGTGCGCGGAAGAATAATCTTGCTGCGCCCAGCAATGATACCAATGTTCGTTCTTTGCAAAACTTGTAAGTCAGTGCGTGACATAACATGTGAAATTCTCTGGAGACAGTTTTTATCGCCCAACCTTTTCAAAACCTCTCCCGGGATGGGCTTGCTTATCCTCGCTAGTAATCTTGGAGTGATTTTAGTAAAATTATATGCTTGGGCTCACCAATACAATGGCGCATTTTTTAGATGAGCAGTAGCTAGATCAGTTTATAGGAAGTGCACTGCGAAAATCAATTTCTTGTGATCAGCACTTCATAAGAAATATAAACAGCAAATATAGCGCCATTTGAATAAGAGTAAAATTAAGCCGCCCCACTAAAACCAAATATGTTTTGAAGCAGGATGCCCGGTAATTAGGTTAGTTTATAGAAAGTGTGCTGATATTCGTTCCACAGAAAAAATTTCAATGTATTATATTCGGCAGTAAGAAAAGGAAACAGTTTTCTTATTTTTGTTGATCAGGCTTAGGTAAAGCAGAGTACCAGTAAAATGCGGTTTTTATGCGTTTTTGCATATATGTAAATTGCAAAAACGCATATTGGGAAGAGGCTGTG